TAAAAATTTCAATTTATACTTATTTTATTATTTTAAATTAAATAAAAATAACAATTTATCATTTTTCACATGCTTTATTTTTCACATCATTAGTTAAAAAAATAAAAAATTGATTTTTTTGACCATTTAACATGCGTCAATAAAAAGATGAAATTGATATTAAAAATAAAAGTTTAAGGATATTTTTAATATTTTTTAAAATTTAAAAATAATTTTAATATAAATTCAAAAATTAAAAGACTAAAAATAATAGTTTAATCTTTTAATAGTGTCATTGTTATGATATTAGTCATTGATGAGCAGGGGTCCACCTTACTTTTCTTAAAACTTCACGATATCAGGCACTCAGTGTAGGGGTGTTGGCTGTAGGGATGTGTGGGTGATTATATCTTATTCAATCCAATAAAAATTAAATTAAATTGATATAAAATTAGATTGATTAAATTATAAAATTATAAAAGTGATATAATTAATTTGATTTTTAATTTTACTTTTAAATTGTTAAAATTACTTGATTATAAAATAAAATTTGATTTTAAGATAATTTAATTAAATAATATAATATTTTTTATAATATTTTAAATTTTATTTTTTTTGTTTTACAGAATAATTACTTCATTAATTTAATTAAAAAATAAAAATAGGACATACCCATATCACTAATTTATTTTTCATTTTTAATTGTACACTCCAACTCTAGTTCAAAATTCTAATTCACCTACAACTCTACTCTTTAAAAATGATTTGCGATTATACTCTTAGAATCTTAAATTTCTATTTTGTTCTAAAAATGATGTTATAATTCTCTTAGTTAAATTTTATAAAAGTATCATTCTAAAAATCTTAAAATTATATAATAGAATTAGTTTTAATATTTTATTATTTTTAGATATTTGGTTGAAAAGTTTTAAATTTTAATTATAAATGCTTATAATCAATTCTAATAATATTCATGTTAAATTTTATTTGCTTTTAATATAATTTGGAATATGAGATTGAATGATTGATGCATTAAGAAAAAAAATTATTTTTGACCTTTAAAAATTATTTCCACTATATTTAAAATTCAGAATCATTTTTTATTATTTTTGATATATCTAGTGATGTAACCAAGAAAAATTTCTACATCTTTTTGATTATTATAATTGTAAAGAATATAAAAACTTGTTTATAATTTATACTTTTTATTATATTTTTATTAATTTAGTTGTTAATATGTTTTATAATTATAT